GAAAAAAATACCAGAATGCCTAATTTATTGTCATCATTTTCATCAGCTACACATTATAACTTTTCTAAGACTACACAAATATGGAATAAAGTAGTATAAATTGTTAAGGACTGACTCAGGATACAGATTTTAAACTCAGTATGCAGCAACAGCTGGAGGTAAAATTTATCACTGTCATAAATATAATGGATAAGCGCCCAGTTTGTGCTAAGCATTGTAATTTTTCCTCCTCACACCTCAAGCTGTCCATTCTCAAAATACACTCCATGCAGGCATATTTTAAGAAAAAAAAAAAGATGTCAGATATGTATTGTTACATGAGAAATACTGTTCAAGATACCTATAAGAGAAAATGTTTTAGCAGTCCAACAGCTAAAAGTTTATATTCTCTTTGGTAGGCATCACAGAAACCGGAGTTGCAGAGAGAAGTCTAAAGGATAAAAGCATGTGTTCTTTGTTTTTTTAAAAGGATGTTCCTCCATCAAGACCAGTAACATCTAAAAACGTATTTAAAAATCCCACTGCATTTTACATACTATAGAAGTTTGCAACATTAATAAATGTATTTATTACTGTATTTATCTAAGCACTAATATAGAAGAAGGGTTTGAATCCTACAGTTTTTCCATTTTTGTCATCTTCAAACCTGCTTTGGGATAGATGGTTTTAACTGAAAGGCACTGAAAGTACAAACACATGGTGTCATCTCACATATGGAACTGTTCAAATATTTGTTGTCTTACCGGGCAACCCTTTTAACTGAGACTGAAGAATAAATCAGATTTCAGTTGGTGGACTTCACACTGAAGACAGACCACAGCCCTGCCTCTAAGCATTAAATGAGAAGACAGTCAGTTCTTTCACCTATCTACACATGATGCTAAAAGCAAATGTAGTTTTCAAGTCCTGAGCCCTCAGTCTTTGACCTGCCCTCAGATATTAATAACCTAATTTTATCCACATAGCAATTTGCTCTACTGCTACAGAGCAATTTCAGGTGTAGAGTTCAGATCAAAGCTCCTGTATTTAGGGAACCTATAATGGGAACTTGGATTTACATGCAGGTCCCTAAAGATTATTGAAGGATTAAGCTGGACAGTCACTAGGGTGAGAATTAGTTGCTCAGACACATGCAGTGCTACTCAAGAATGCCATTTGAATGTCTCAGGACATCCTAAAATATCTACACATAGCCTGTAAATATGACAGAACCTTTGTGAAACCTTTGTCTATAAAGCAGGTCGATGTTGTCAAGGTATCTCAAATGGGATGGAAACTTCACTTGTCTATCATAGCTGAAACACTGTCTAAGCTCTAATGATGACTGTACTGACTGTCTTAAGACTTTAAAAGGCTTAGCAAACATGAAGCCACCTCTATCTGGGTGTTACATCAGTAGCTAGATCCCAACTCTACAATCAAAACCCGAGTGTGGAACAAATGCAGAAGAAAGTATTTTCACGGGAAGGCATGACATAATTGAAACATACTAGCACAATGCATATTACATGGAAGTTAACTGAACATGGTACAACTCGTTATCACAATCCAGCTTCACAACCATCCAGGCTCTTCCTTCCAAGGCAAAGGGTACATTAGCTGGTAAGTCAGATACTGGCATTAATATATAAATCAGTCTATAATCCTACAACAAGGCACTGATGTTACTTAAAACTGGGTATTCAGCTGCAAAACAGTGTCTTGTTATTTACAAGTCACAGTAATATCTGCTGTTACAGATCTGGAAACAAGAAATTAAAACATACAGCAATTGATAACATATATCACCTCCACAAGAAGTAGGAAGTTCGCAAAGAAAATACATATTCCTGTTATGCAATACTGACTACATAATGTGACATTCAGATTACAAGCTAAGGCACATTTGTGAAACTGATGCAAGTTTTCTTGTAATTTTTAACATTACTGATAGATGAGAATGTTTTGACTGAAGGTTCCCTGTATCTCTTCCCAAAAAAACTGCTACAGCTGCCCTTGAAGTACAGTGGTACAGCATTTAAAAATCTGAACATCTAGATTTCTTGTTTAAGACTACTTAAAAAAAAGTCACTGTTTTTCTAGAATTAGAGGCATAAAACAGTCATGAAAGACAGCAGAAATTATTTCACCCAGGTAACAGACATTCTCATCTTACAGCGCAAAAAAATACATTTCTAACATTGAGTTGGAAACAATTTGTTTTTATGAACTTCAGTATGTATTGCTTAATATTTAAATTATACCATATCTATTATAAGCACAGACATTTGTATGTTAGAAGATGATGCAACAATTCTATGTGAAGGACTCCAACACAGATGTGGCTATATCCACTAAACTGAAAGGTAGAGAGGAAAAAGGTAACGATATATATTTCAATATAAATCCAAGAAAAGTATGTGAACCCATAGCTGTTACTCAGCATTCTTTACCCTATTGGAAAGCTTCAATTCATTAAACAAATTTCATCAAGAACGGATGCATATATGGGCACACAATTTTGAAGAAAGGTACTTATAGCTTCCATTCTTCAAGAGAAGAATGAAGTTAGCTTTTTCCAACTTAAGTCTAAGGGATTCTCAGTAGGAAGGAACAAGCCTTTGTAGCAAGCCTTTGTTGTATTTGGAACATAAGAATTTCTCTTGGTAGCTCAAAAAAAACCTCTCTTGGTATGTGACAGAGCACAGGTAGCAGATGAAAACAATTTCAGACTCAGATCGTACCGTGGATGTGCGCTGCCCTCTGCTGTACTGCTTGAATTCTCCCACTAAGCCAAAGAGCCATCGTGCTGTTACTTTTTAACACAGACAGGTAAGATGCACTTTATTCCACATCAAAACACTAAAATATTACTACTTTGAACATGCAAGCAGTGCCTGCTATGGAAAGATTTATACCCGTCACCTTAGACAAATGACAGAGACCTCTGAAGACAGATTTTTAAATGCCCATTTGTACATTTCCAAGCAGATAAGGAAAAATACATTTGCTTTAGTTGTTCCCCCATGTGCTTAGAGCAAGATCTTTTACCCTAATCAAGGCCCAATGGTTAGTTTTTTGACTTTCATACAAAGTATGCTGATTCAAAGTAATATATGCTTCAGCCTTATCAGTAAACTAACAAGCCTTCCACCTGGATGTGTCTCTTTTCCCCAAACAGCATTTTTTATTTACCTGTTTCTCATTCAATATATGTTTCGCTTTATTATAAACACTTAACCACAACTCCTAACTCTTCATCACTATGTAATGAAGGTATTCAAGGTATCAGAACTCATATCAGAAGCTAGAGTTCAAAAGTAAGCAAACAAGAAAACACAAACGAACAAAAAAACAACTCCAAAAAATTTTTCCCCTACAAGGAATGTTTTTGTTTCAAAAACTTTGTGAAGTTCATGCAGCTACACACAAGCTCATTTTTCAACTAAAACACTTGAATGTCCCTCCACCCCAAGGCATTGATTGTAATAGTTGGGAGTAGCTTAATTTTAAAATCTTTCATTTCCTCTAGTAGAGCAATCTTCTATTTATTTAGAATCACTACAGTTATTCACTCTACCCAGTCTGTTATTAATTTTAAAAAGTTAAAACAAGTTAGGGAGAATCAAAATGCGTATCTGCTATTTTGAACTTTCAAGATACATGGGTTTTGCTGCAAACTAAAGGATGTACTTGATTAAACAGTAACCTCTATTACTTTCTCTCCCCCAGCTGCGTCCTGCTCATTACAAATACACTAAAGAGTCTATTTCCTTCTCTGTTTTTAGAGATGGCTTAAAAAATATATATAATCTCAACTGGAGCTAAGTGGTCCAGCCAGATGATGAAACACTTGGATTTTTGCTGTACAGTAGTTTGGTTTCATCAAGAACACAAGATTCACAGGGTATAGAAAACACTGAAGTGAATCCTGCTCTGACAAGTCTCATGTGACACTCCCACTTCCAGCACATATCATGTAAATCTCTTAGAAAAACATACAGACCTGGCAAGGTCACAGAACCACTTTGTTTAAAAGAAAGTCAGATCTGAGACAAGAATTCGCATGGACACCTCAGTGAAGTCATCAAGATTATACCTAATTCCATATGACTACAGATAATACTTGTCTAAATAGCTTCTGTATTTGGAACAGCATAGATAAAAAAAGCAGAATTATTTGACAACCATTAAAATACAACTGGCATCCAATTAGCAGATCTTGACTTTGCTTTCTGATAGCTTGTTAAAAAAGCTACTAAACAGGAATGTAACAATTTAATAAAAAATTACATGGTTTGATAAAGAACAATTAGGATACTTGGAGTTGAAGTTGCCTTACAAATATTTTTTTTCATGCATCTTTTTTTTCAGCTTTGGACCAAGAGTTCTGGAAAAAAACCCCATAATTGTGACTTTAGCCAAGTTTAAGGTAACAGTAAAATGTTCCTCGGTCTTAGGTAAAGGCAGTCAAATTTTACCGTATATTATGTCCATACTACTTTCAAAAAAGGTAGTATCACTCAAGAAAATTCTTGTGTTTAACAAAAAACAACTTACAGGTCTAGCTTTCAGTGTAAAAAATGTGACAGCAGAACACAGGACTAAAATAAGCCAACTGAAAACCATACAAAACCCCCAGTGTTTATCCACATGTCTGTGTTTAGGTGAAGTTAGACTTCCATTACCTACACATGTGTAAATGGCTCTTAAACTGACATCAAAACCACATATCAGATACACATTGTATCTTGTCTACTAATGTGTGTAGAGAGCAATTAATCTATCTGCTTTCTTATTCTTCAACTGCCACTTCACACTACTAATAGTTTAAACCTAAACTTTGATTCACTGGATCAAATATTACCTTAGATGAGACAATATAACTTTACATTTAAAAATATATTCTAACCTACAACACTCAGTGGGTTATACTAAAAAGGAAAATGAAGCAAACCAGTACCCACACATTAGAAATTAAACAACTGCTGGTATGAAATTACACTGCTAAAAAGAATTACCTGTTTTTGTTAGCAAAAGATTATCCAGATGTCTATCTCCAACTCCAAGGATGTACGTAATTACACAATAACCAGCTGTAACAAGTAAATTGTAAACATCAATATAAGCACCTTTCCTGGAGAGCAACAAGTTCCACACAATTAACAATAGCATACGAGATTATCTTAGTTCTTGTTCACAAGTAATAAATATACCATAGGGACTGTGGCCAGGGGTGGTGCTGGTGAAGAATAATCAAGATTATCAGTGGTATGAAGAACATTAGAAGTAATAAATTAAAACTCTGAAGTTTATTCAGTACTGCCTAGATTTTCGTTTCTTACTACACAGTTATATGCCTAACGCTAAAAGCCTAAATTCATTCAATACTGGGATTAAGACACTTAGGAAGATGAAGTATTTTAAGCAAAATGAATGTACACATTTTGAGCTTATGATTTTTTAGGACAACTGTAAACAAGGATTAGACATTGATATGAATCTTAATGTATACGTCAGCAGTGTTTACAAGCTAAGCAGTAACCCAGGCAGTGATAAATAAATTACAACTAATGCAAACTGGTTTAGTTCTTACTTTCACCCACTAACCAGTCTGAAGCAGTTCTAAAGACTGCACCATCACAAAAAAGAAGGGGAAAGAAGATACTGTGGAGCAACAACTGAATGCCATTGGGGTTTTTTTCCGTACGCTGAAGTTGCTTTTAATTTAAATGGACAGCATTATTTTAACATTACTATCAGTTTACTGAACACTACGCTACCACTTTTTCTTGTCATTCAAATGGACAAAGAAGTTGAATGTAGCCACACACCCAAAATCCCCCGATGTTCTAAAAACAAATTCATATGTTCTACCTCAAATACAGAGGGTTTCTTATTATATAAATGCTTGACATCTCCCTGAATTATCAAGACCCCAACTCATGATACAGAGGGGGCAGACGTAAGATTGTTGCTAGAAAGTAAAGAATATTTAACTTCTAGTCTCCGTTACAGAGAATAAAAAGAGGGCCGAGGAGAGGAGTTGTGTATGACACGCCAGGCTCAGAACTATTCTTTTCACAGGGATTCTGACAGCAAGTACATGCTTAGTGCCCTGTCTGCAGTCTTCTAAACTGAAATGTCTTAATATCTCATCTACCCTGCCCTTTATACTTACAACTGTAAGACTGTAACTTACCACAGCTCTTAACATATGTGTCCATCACTTCTGCACTTATTCCATGAGGGCCAGTCTCACTAGGTGCATGTTTTCTGAAGAAGTTCTGGAGGGGAAGTCATCAACATATTTAGTTATTCCACATGATCTGAAACAGGATTTTTAAAACTGGTAGAAAAAAAGAAAGATTTAAATCAAGACCACAAATGGCCGTTATTACAATTCGCTAAACTAAAAATCACTCCCAAAACCCTGAGTAAGATCTAATTTAATTTTGCATCACTTCATTTTCTGTCTTAATCATCGTATTTTTATACCCAATAGAGATGTGAAGTTTAAATTGAAAAGCAGTTTTCTTTATTAACAGCTTCCAAAAATTAACAAAGCACTGAAAAGTTACTAATTAGTAACTATGAGTGCAAAATACTTCCACAGTCAACTGTTTAAGCCAGATCAGCAAAAACTAGAACAGGACTAAGAGTTCAGATTTGTAACTACATTTGGGACACACACTCTTACAAGGTTTATCATCATTATGTATCTCCATATGCCTCCATACAACCAAGCCCTACTGAGTTTAAAAGGAAAATCTAAGTCATCAAATGGAAATGTCACATTTCCTGTAAAATGCAGACAGAGCCAAAATAGTCCTTCCCACTACTCAGAAAAAAAATGTGCTTTTTTCTTGACTGAGACAAAAGATGGGTAAATTATATCCAAGCCTAAGTACAAGTTTCTTCCAGTAAGCAAACATGAAGGTAAGGAAGCACTGGAAGAGAAGCTTTGCAGGCATCTGGATGACCTAAGTGACTCAAGTTCTAATGAAAAAATGAAGGGAATCTTACAAAACAAAAGAAGGTACTGAAGGAAGGTACCTGCAGGCTATTTAAGAAAGTTTTCCTTGAAAAGCAGTCCTGTTATAACATGTATCAGAGTTTTAAGGACTTAAGCAAAGACTCCTTTTTGCTTACAGAGGAACATGCCCTTCTGAGGTATGTTAAAAAAGCTGACAGTATAAAGAGCCTATTAAATGAAATCCCTAAGTGAAATGTGGAAGGAAATTTTTAGCTGGTTAACAGACTGCTAGAGAAATCTACTTTCAGTGCTCCAAAATTTTACACGCTGTATGTAAACATAGCACTTGGTTTGAGATTTTTTCTAACACTTGACAAGAAATCACTTTTTCCTGAAATTTCTAGCCCGAGGAAAACAAAAAAAAACCCCACCAAACAAACAAACCCACACCAACCAAAAAAAACCCAAACACAAACAGACTTCAGACTATCCAAAAGCTAAACTGCAGAGTGTGGAACAGAAATACCTTCCATGAACTTCAATTTCACGATTGTTGATAGAAGGTTAAGTAACATGCAAACATCAAAACATCTTTTCTTTCCTGCACATCTGCATTATCAGCCCAGATTAGATTACATGCTTTAAATCTTTTCAGAAGCTGAACATTTTTTAATATTTAGATACAGTGCCCATCTTTATTAAAATAGCCGTGACACCCAAAATGAACATTTAAAAAAAGAATAAACCAAACTCTCACAACACCTAAAAATGTTTATTTATCCTTTATTTCCTTGGCCTACAATGCCCAGCTATTTTATCACGCTTTGGCACAGGAAATCTGGGCTCTATAATATATTTTGCCATTGATCTGTGAAGTAATCTTAGATCACATTCTTTCAGCATCTTGTCTATTTAGATTAGCAATTCTTCACAGGAAGAAGCAAGTAAAACAGCACAGCAACCAAAACAGTGGGGCACCTATTTCAGATTGGAATATGATGTTGTAAGTAATTGCAAAATGACACTTTCACAAGCATTTCCAAATATATTATTTATTAAAAACATAATGGACTAGAATATGAATAGCGTATTTCCAAGATTACAGAGGATTGCCAAGAAAACACTTTATAAACTGAATGTGCTGATGTAGCTTATCACAATCTTTACGGAACAGAAAGCTCAAAAAACTTACACAACTTGATGGCTGTCATTGTCTGATTAATGATAAGCATTTTTCATAAATGGCAAGCATTTGCTTACTTGTTAAGCAAATGATAACGACAAATGATAAGCATTTTTTAATCTCCGTATTTTTAATATATGTAGTTGATAGAAGCTGGGAGCTATTTGCTTTGGCTCCCAGTGACTGAGCTATGAATGCAAACTTCAGTATCAACTATAAAAAAAGGGAAAAAAGGTACTGTGACAAATTGAATCCAACATAAACATGCTGCGTTTTCATTAAAAAAAAATGATTAGCTACGTATCTCATACAGCAATTTGGTATGTTTTTATCCAACTATATTTGCCTCAACCAGCTGAGCTCTGCTACCTCGCTTGTGTGCTGTGCTTGAAATTAGCATGTATTCCATGTATCACTATTCAATTGTGTGTCCCTACTCAATTCCACAACAGTTACAGAAAGTTTGCCAAGTTAAAAAAAAAAACATCCAAACAGAAAAGAAATAATAATTTAAAAAAAAAAAACAAACACCACACAGTATCTATACATCCACCATGGCAGGGCAACAGACTTCAGAAATTACATGGACAAACTATTTAGTAGTTCCATCATAAAAAACCCAAACAACTCCAAAAAAACAAACAAGAAATCATTAAAACCTACTTTGACAGGGTATCAAGCCAAAACTACTGAATAAATGACAAACACTTTAAAATAAAACAGGACAGAAAAGTGTCATGCATCTTCCATTCATCATTACAGCAAAGCCAGAATTTCAGTATCACAACTAAATTACACTTTAATTATTTAAATGGTATTGCTTTTAGGACATGATATGCTTACATGGCGATTTAGGTATATTTTTTTCTAAAGCAAAACATCTGCTGTAAATACCCTTATGTTTCAAGCTATAATTTGCCTTCTAACAACAGATACAGAATTGAGTTGAGAAACTAAAGACTTTTGCATGAGATCTAAGCCTGCAATTTACTGTTTGATCAGAGAACGACTTAAAAATCCCTCATCACATACCTGTATACTTTCCTCAGTAGCAAGCACTTCTGCAACTGGTACTGACTGAATAAACTGCATAAAGCCTGTGACAGAAAACAAACAAACAAACAAATCTCAGATGCGTGGAACTGTCAAGCTCCTCTATAATGCATATTTATTAAAGGGCAACACTAACACACACTTTCATTCAACTGCTTCTCATTGGCAAAAAAAACACGTTTTGTCCCCATTTTCTGCCTTCAGTCATTGTAAAACAACTAGTCATTAACACCAAATTAGCTTCAAAAGGTCTGTTGCTCCAAATTTTCATGAGAAGAGAAAGATAAATCAATGAGTCTTTCTAAATATTTATCCAGAATGTATCTAAAAGCATAGCCAAGTTTGATTTTGTTTTGTCTTGTTTTTTTCCTCTACTTCATGCAAAGATCTATAAATAGGAGTGTTAAAAATTATTTGCCTGAGATCACACAGCAAGCTAGCAGCAAAGACAACACTAATGATCATCGCATACTCCAAAATCCAACCCGGGCTTCTTTTACGAACATATTTGAGTCACCTATGGAATACTGGTCACTCAGGTTGTTTACTTCCATGACTTACATTGCAACAAGATTTTCTTACACATTTGAACTCCTTTTTAGAATGCTCTGCTAAGCAAAACATCTGTCATGAAAATAGTGTGTCACAACAGTCTATGAACAGAGGGAGAAGATTCCTTCCAATACTGTATGTTTAGGAAATAGGAGTATTCATACCATGTTTTGTACTAGTCGCCAGCACTTTATAGGGTGTCAGCTTCAAATCCAGATTCTCTTTTCTTAACAACTGGAAAAAGCCAACACAAAAAAAAGCAAAGATGAATGCAATAGAAAACAGCTTCTATTTCTAACAGAAATGTGTTTTGGACATTGATCTCCACTGTTCTTCACTGAAATTAGTGATGAGTGAAAGCCTGTTTGCCTTTTTTTTTTTTCCCCCTCTTTAAATCTATACAGGAACATTCTGTCCATAAAGAAAAGAAAAAAGCCACCTAAGACCTGAGAACCCTGGAATGTATTAGCAACATAAGATGCATCAACAGTTTTCAACAGTCTTGCTCTCAACAAGGAGACTCAAGAACACAGAAGGACAAGGATGCGGATTAATAATTCTCACCTTATCCATGAGTGAAATAATCTGAAGAATAAGTTGATCTTGACGTAAATCATCACCATGCTTAAAAATTACAGGGTATTTGCCTCCGTCTTCTGTCTTGAAGAATAACTGAGCAGGCATTAAGGCACTCTGGAAAAGGAAACATTCTACTAAGCTGGTTCCCAGCAATGTTCATATTAACATGTTGTTACAGGGGAGTTCTAAAATATAAATCCTTGTTTACCGCACTGTAAATCAGAAGTTAATTAAGCAAGTATCAGGTCATAGGATTCAAGTATTAAATTAAGTCAGAAAAAGGCTTAGAGTAGTCCCATTTGAATACCAACAGCATGGCAGTGAGCACCGAAGTCTCTTCACATTCCTCAAGTTTCGTAGAAAAGAATCTAAAGCTTCTAAAAGCTGTTACTCACTGTCTAGGACTCAACAGGTAGAACATACCACTTCCACTTACCAAAAGTGTGATCTAGGCATGTTTTTAAAAAAAAAAAAAAAAATCTTAAGGCTTTCCTTCTTTTTTAGCAAGGAATGAATGTGAAGGATACATTCCTCCCACGTCCCCCTCCAGCAGCAGAAGAGGAAAGGACAGCAGGATTCAAATTTTGTTTGTATGCATCTAATTCCAATCAACATAGAAGCACTATGCAAAAGGTCACAACAAAACAAATTTAAACTGACCAGATCAAAAGGAGACACAATTGTAGGACAAACATCAAAGAAATGCTAGGGGCAAGACATCTTAAACAATTAATTGCTTTCTTAATCTATTTAGTAAAAGCAAAAATGCCTTTTTATATCGTTGTTTGAGAAAGCCAATTTAATTGTTTACAATTTCTCTGCATAAAATGGGTTGAGGGAGATCAATTACCTACATTAATGATTTCATCTATTGCAACTGACCAAGTCACTTCCCTCAAAACCAAAACCAACAAAAAAAAAAATCAATGATACAGAGTTTTATATTTGAGCCGTTACATTAGATCTTCACATGAAATGAATGTTTCAAAATGAGCAAGTCCCATAAAGGAAAAATTATTCTTTAAATACTCCTACAGAAGCTGCCATGTGATGTCCAAGAGCACCAAAAATTAGTCATACTTCCCTCCTCGGGTTAGTTTGGGTTTTATCCCATAGTACAGAATAAGAGATTAAAATGGAAATTTGTAACCATTCAGGATCAGGAGGATTGAAACCATCTCTGATTTTGAAACACGTTACATCTCATATTTTTGGTCCTAAATTTTCTACGTTGCTACAAAAGACCAGTGTGTAGAAGACTGACTTGAGTTCGTCCTGATCAAGTTATTGTTGACAGGAAATATTTAGTTGCTGTTCCAGCAGTCTTTTCGCCAACATTCTTCCCCCGACCCTTAAATCATATTCATGCTAAAAGTTGACTCAAGTTTGCAAAACCTTGTTTTCATGACAAGATCTTTCCAATGTTGCCTCCAACCCAAGGTGCAAGAGCATGGAATTGAAGAAGCACACTGAGACTAAATTGTATATAAAGAAGCAAGCCAAAGCTGGGAAACCAGGAGATGGTATGGCAGAAAACCATGCAAAAATGTTGATGTCTGATTTTAAGTAAACACAAATTATACCACAGTCAATAAGCAGCCTGTCAAAGTTTGAAACTACTGGGTATAATAAATTTGTGGCCTTGTAGAGATGATGGATCAACACGAGTTGCCACAGCAGCTGGAACATGTTTCAACTACCAGAGAATGCCTCCTGGACATAGGGCTGACTGGTGAAGCTCATTTTGGTCATCTTAATTACATCAGTCACCCATATGAGTTGAAGGTAAATTTATAAAGGGGTCCTACATCACTGGACACAGGTAATAGCTTACACTGCAGGCAATAACTTACATTCCAAGTAGTATAGGAAGCAGAATAACCCCAGCAATTCCATCAGCACATTGCCTGTTCATTAACTATATTAAGAGCTGGCCATATGATCACAAGCAACTGCTACGGATTGGTTTAAGGACTTACCAACCATAGCAATACAGGATCTACCTGTCAGCCCGCTGCAACTGCATAAAATGGACCTCCTTATTGCTTTCCAGTCTCTACCAATTTAAGTTTTATTTTGCAATGGAATAGATGCATACATCTAGCTCAGATGCAGCACATCTGACTTTATTTGTATGATTTTGATCATAAGTGGTGTTCCTGTTGAACACACTAACTAAAGTTCAGAGAAATTCTGAACTAGGAAGCATGCCTTCAGCTTGGAGACTTCATAAACTTTATAAACTGTATCAGTCTTATAAAAGCTGCTTTAAAGTTTGCACGTTGTTTTCTTTGTGAAACTTTTTTTCAAGTTAAAGAATTGTTTAACCACTTTAAGAGCACATTATAGTTACATTTTGCCTTGACTATGTCAGCCCCTTTAAATCTTTCAACTGATGTTTCTAAGCTTTGTGCTCATAAGAGTTCTTTGTATTTCAGTTGTTCAGAAGATCTCATTTACCTTGAAGAGTGTGGCTTTTTCAGGGATTATCCCTTTAATTTTCACCTGGGGTTCCAGAGGAAGTGGAATAAGTTCCATATCTGCTAAATTCATCTTTTCGTTATCTGCTAACAATGCCTGAAGCCTCTCATTCTAAAAGAATAAAAGAATAGAAACTTGTTTAAAAAAAAAATCATAAAACACATACTAGGCATATATGAACATATATTAAAGTCTTTTAACAAAGGATGTATTATTAATAAATATTCAATTTATTAAATTCTTCACTCTTCCAAAGAATCAAGGTTTCAGTCTTAAATCCAGTGAAATAAAAATCCTCCATTTGCAGTAATCCGAGTAAGAAAGCAGATTCCATCTAGTCTGAGTATAGTCAAGCAATTCTATAAGTGCCAGGCATAACAGTTTTACAAAAATGTATTTTTAAATTGTCTGCAGAAGTAGCAGGATGACTTATTTTCTAGAGCAGTATCAAATGTTAGTTCTGTTTTCAGAAACTTGCTTCAAGTCTTCAGCTCTGATCCTTTAAATCCCTGAACTCAAGGAGATTCCCTACCACCAATGAACCAATTGCCAACAGCTTGCATAGAGCCTTCAGAGCATTCAGAGCCTTCTCTACATTCCTACATCTGTACTTACCAGAAATACAACACTAGTTAGTTCTGGAGTTCTTTAGGCTTGGTGTCCTACATAAAGGTCGAATACATAGAAGTCTCTAGTTTTTTTCCTCTACCGAATATAACAGGCATAAACACAGGCACACAGGAAGGTAGCCCACCACTGTTGAGAATGCTTCTATTTATTGGTTAATTGCTGCTAGCTAGATTTTAAGCCAAAAATCAAAGCCATGTGTTTCTTAGTTTTAAGGAAACATCATGCAATTATAAAAGAACATTTGACAGAATGCTATCAATGTATTGCACAAGCAGGAAATACATTCTTATGAATTGAAAACGCCGCCTCCTCTTTTACTGATTACACCTTTATTACCGATATATAGCACATTCCTAAAATTTCAAAAAAATGATGCAATGCTTATGTGTTTCATTTTCCCACACAAATATACCCACATATTTATAAAAAAGAAGGTGAAAAAAATTATTACACTAAAAAAAAAATCAATACTTAAAAATACTGATGTGTGTCAGAGGAAAAGAAAATACGTGAATAGAAATTCCTTTGGCATTCTGCTTCCTCCTCATACCTGTCTGCCAAGTTCACTTGAAATATTTTAACTAAGGACAAAGCTTCTTAAAATGCACCTATGATAGAAATCCTTTTCCTCAAGATGTAACAGATAACTTTCAGGGGAGGCAAAGCTCTGCTAAACACACACCTTATATAAGAATAGTTTTGTTGCTCTTCGAATAAATGGAACCTTGCTGCTAGACAAATTTCATTATCTATCCCAGCACAATTCTCACACCACAATAACCTCTGCTCCCTTCCCACGTCCCCCACAATTTGTTCACTGTTATATCCTCAACTATTCAATTATTCCTTTATCTTCCTTTTGCCAAAATATCCTGAGATTTTTCTCACGGGACTCTTCTCTTTTTCATCTACAAACTTTCAGAACACTTTTGACTCATCCAAACCTCTGCTAAGTTTGTTTAAAGTTTGCTAAAATTATTGCAGGACAGGCAGACATCTGTTATTAATCTCAGTGCTAAGGATTTTTAGTGAAAAGCTAACATTCCTATTGTCAAATTCTAGCCAGAGATAAGGTCTCCAATCTTTTAGTTACCTTTTTCTTACGATTCCCACTTTCACGCTGCACTGCTTTCATTACATGAACCAGCCGATCTACAAATGTCTGCTGGGCTGCCAACAACGAACGCATAACTCTGACAGACTTATCACCCTAGGTGAATTAAAAGAAACAAAATTAGTTCTTTGTTCTTCAATTATTTTATCTAGAAATTATTCCTTTATTCTTAGACCTTTGGGCTTTTAAGAGGTAAGTGAATAAAGATCAATTTCCTGTCAATTCAAAAGGTATTTTCTGTAAAACACAATCAGAATCACTGTAGCTGACAATCAATTATCTGATCTACCAGTGCGCTTCAATTTACATCAACAATTTGAGTGGTGAACAGTCATGCATGACAAATCCATTCACACAGCAAAAATAAGTTAGTAAGGATAAGCACATGGAATATTCTCATGAAGCGTAAGAGTCAGATTTGAATAACATCCCTAAAACGGGAATTAATAGGAAGAGTGAGATACACTAAAATCAGGACAGACTGCATATCTGCTATAAATTACAGACTGCAATTCACAAAAGTGTTTTTTACTTTGTTTTTGCTTTTTTCCCCGCTGCTCCAGCACCCTCTGCTGCTGATAGACAGAACAACACTGTTTGTGAAAGACAGGTCTCATCTCAATTTGCACTGCAAGGACAAATGCTTCCAATAAAGAAACAGTAAATAGGCTGATTACACGAGGCAGAGGGTTTTAGAACCAGCATGTTATTAACAGGAACAAGCAATAAAACAGAGGAAGAAGTTCTCAACACTTGTTCTGTTCTTTTTCAGTAGTTCCTTTGGTTTACCACACACTCAAAATTCAAGCAAAAGTGGGAGCTTTTTTTTAAAATTTCAATATAACACGACAGACTGTCTCCCTCCTAGGCACCTGTGCCTTTTAAAGAATGAACATCCCAAAGCACTACGTATTTCCTTACACAGAGGTATTACCTTCAGCAAAGCCTGACTAAATCTTCTCATCACATTTAAGTACATTTCGTGAGTCTTTGGGTCCCTCTGCTGAGTGTCTTGGTCTTCACACTCCACTATTACATACCTGCAGCATAAAAACAAACCAAGTTATGCTGTACTCTGGTGCTACACAATTTGAATGAAATACAGCAGCCCTGTATTATAGGCCTGGAACTAAAAATGAAATTGATCTTTGAATGAGGTATCAACCAACAGGCAAACTCTTCAAAATTGCATAGTCAAATTCCCACTTGGATCAGGAGACTCTATCAAAGTTTCTGAGGTCTTTCACTTACAGTGAAGCGGCATCACTCAAACAGGACACGTCAGAAGTCCAAACGATACAAACACTCCAACCAAGCAGTACACATGGGAGGAGCGGGCATTCCACTGTGCTACTACCCTCTACATAATGTAGTGGCTGCAAACTTGCTATTCAAGTATACCTGCAAAACCAAGAAGAATCTCACCCTACCTGTTCCCTGTTTTACCATTAACAATGGTGGAAGAGACAGTATTGGTCCTGAAGCAGTTCTGCAAAGTCTACATTCCAAAATAAGTTTTAATTTCTAAAATTATGATTTGAGTAGCAGATTTAAACAGTACAATTTGGAACAGTTATACTGAAAATTTAATTTATTATGTTAAACAGTTGTTCAGAAAGCTTTTGTGCTTGTATCTATTCACAGCACGGACAAGCAAAAAGTAGGTACGCACAGAAGGTCTTTCTGTTGACCAATGTATCTCCTAGTATTACCCAGTAAAAACATATAACCCCACTATTAAAAAAAGGAAGAAATTAGCAAGTCAGTCAATTCTCAAACACTGCATTTGAATTCCAAAGTGACTCCACACATTCAGCAAACACTCTTGGACTTTACGTTGACAGCTAGAGTTACCCGTTCCTCATGCACTTGTGCAGAATCTCTTTGCAACTGAATGATTACGGGACAAGGTTAGAGGCCTGTCATTTGCAGCTGATCAGATTTGACTAGTCTTATTTAGAAATACACAATATATTATATAGATTAGAGTAAGGCATATGTAACTTACTCCACAAGTATTACCTCAATGAAATCTATAACTAGAGATTACTTCTAGAACTTTGCAAACAGATCTTCTACACCATTCCCTCACTAAAATGACAAAATTAGATTGCAGTAATATGTGTACAAAAATAAGCCCAGATTTACAAAGTCTGTGCACCAAAACCTCAAGGAAAACAGGAAGTAACGAATTGAAACATGCCATTTTCATCTTCATTTGTTAAAAAGCCCTAGACAGTTTCTAAAGCTGTCTTGAAACAAGGAGGAAGAGTAATGCTTCATACTTGGATAGGTGTCTCATATGTCCAAAGAAGAGACAGAAAAAAGCAGTAGCACCGACTTCTGCAGCTGCTGTTAAAGTGTAAGGATAGGATAGCTTTACAATGATGTGACTGAGCAGGGAGGTTTGATTTTCAAGGGTTATTGTACTTTTTCCATTGATTATTTTAGGTGCATGCTGTGTCTGGATAGTTGAAACGAGCAATTGATCAGCAGCCAAGAGGATTTATGGCAACGTCAGCTCGAACAGCGGCTGCAACATTTGTATTTTGTCACTGAGAAATTGAGATGTCTGGAAAGAAAACAAAGAATAAATTGACTGAGTTTTTTTGTTTGGGTTTTTGGGGGTTTTTTTGGTTGTAAGACAAACTTCAGAGTACTGGATGCTTTGAACTTTCTGTAGACTGAATGTCTGAGATGTTGCTGAAATGTAAGTGCACAGTTTCTATGCATGTGACAGAAATAAGCTAACCTACTATCATTTATCTTAAATGAAGAATATTTGATTAGGTCAAGCATTTGGCTTCTACCCACATCAATTAGGCCTGCAATTATTTTAATAATTTAAATTTAATGGCACTTTTTTCTGAAGCCAACCATTATCTTTGGCCACTGCAACAGAACTATGTACACTAAGAAACTGTTCAGTCATACACACATATACTTTAAATTTAAGCTACTGAAAAACAATGAAATAATAAAACAAAAAGCTATTTACAAACGGAGTCACTGTCAGAGTAGATTAGGATTGTTATAAGGGTTTTATAAGAACAGTTCAGTAGGTTTACATCACATATCACATTGTTCCTAACTCACAGCTTATTTGTGGTTAATATTCATAGCACATTAACATATGATGTGTATTAGTATTTTTAACTATTAGATACCTCTACAAAGGATACAAATGAGAATCATTTTACTTCAGTTTAGCCATGTAAAAGGCATCTAAGATCTCTATTTTAAAATACATGTCCATATACCAGTAAATAGCTCTATGTGTTGTATATACATACACATTAATATATACACATATACACACATACTTTCACAGAGTACAGTTCTATTCACCTCAGCTTTCTTCAAATGAGATAATTCTATCTGCAAATGCTTACTCAGAAGGCACGCAGATGACTAGTTTAAGGCATCTAATTTAATTCTTAAACCACTAAAGTGAGACAAGATCCTTAGCTGAGTAATCTTACCTCTCCACTATCTAGATGAACTATTCACAAATAAAGTTCCGCCTTAAGAAAGCACATATCTGCAATGACATTTTGTTTGTGCTCATAGCATAACCACAAATGGAATCTAAAAAATAATTAGGTTAGCACAAAAAAATTAGTGCTTTATGAACCATCATGAAGTACACTCTTGACTAATACTAAAGTGCGTAACCTTAATATTCTAGCCAACATTGTCAAAAACTATAAACACAAACCAAACAGAAAAGCAGAGCAGAAGATGAACTTTATCTCCTTCCCACCACCATAAACAAATTGATGACAACTTGCAAACTATAGTCTTTTTTTTTTAAAAAAAAACCCTGTACTTAATGCCCTGCAAACCACCTTCCTTTGTCTAACAGTAAAGCACATCTGTGCATTTGAAAAACCAGCACCCTCCTTTTACTAATTATTCTGTTCGAATGCATTTTGGTTTAAATCTACTAATTCATCCTGACAAATTGAGATTCTCGAGACGAGTCATCTTTTGCTGTGCATCCTTCTGGGCATTAGCTTTGATTCCAATTGGACATTGATAGAGTATGAATAAATAGTTTCTAACATACCAGTATAAGTAGTTTGCCAACGTGGAATTTTTGCATGCTCGTGAAATCAAGAAAGTGCAAAGGTCTTGCTGGAAGGGATTTAAAAAAAAAGTAAAATTAAGTTATGAAAAAGTCTAAGCACCTGAGAGAGAGATGAAGTTAAGGAAAAACCCCAAATAATTGCAGGGAGTTTTGAGAGATACATTCCCTTCCAAAATCTGAATCCAATCCAACCTAATATTTAAATAGTGTTTGTTTTACTATTACTCCAAATCCAGCAACAACACTACAAGTAAAAAAAGGTCTGCTACTACAGTAATATATTTACCAACACATCAAAAGTACATGATGTTCCCCAACAGTAAACCTTTAATGTAAAGTTTCTGTTTACAATATATCACACTTTCCTCCTATGCAATTATCCCTTGCTGTAAGACTCAACCCTGGAAGGGATTTGCTACCCTGTTTTGCATCCAGAAGATCTAAAACTCATTATTATGTTCTACATTTTAACATAAAGAAAAAAAAAATATGTAGACAATACACAGCATTTAGCTGCCTTTTCAAGGTTTAATATCCCAACTAACAAGAAATCTGTGTATATTTACTGATACACTCAATTTGAGGCTTATTTTCTGTGTAGTAACGAGACCCAAAAAGAAAGATTTGCAACAGGGAATGGATCTTCAGTTCAAAGACCAATTAACTGCACATCAGATTAAAACTGGGTTCCCTCAAACTGTCTTTAACTTTTATCTCTCCCTCCAGTCCCATTTTTACTACTCTTCTACTTGTGATATAAATTGAGTATAATCCTTGGCAGATGTAAATCAACAGTGTCTCACTTAGGTCCAAAAAGATGACACCCACACCAAAGAACACAGCTATGGGAAGAACAGACTGCAGAGGTTAAAACATTTGGATAACCGTTTTCCATTGAAAAACTTGCTTTAGAACACCTCAAACCCATGCAATCGGTCATTATCTCATCAGCATGCGATACCCTTTGCAGTAATTCTCTCCTTTAAAATACTTTAATTTCATGAAGAATTCAATGCCCAGTCCCCCAATTTTGAATACTGTAACCATGTACATAAACAGATGTCCTGTAAAAAGAAAATTCAGTTAAGCTATTGCTATTTTTTAGCATTTAATTTTTTGAGCACTTCAAGTATTCGGTAAGATACAGTAGAAAGATTCAAATACTCACAAACAAAAAGTAAAACCAGTACTAGGTCACTAAAAAGCCTAAAGTATCAAAAATACAAGGTAAAGCATTTGACTTACATCAAGGTTTTCATTGTCTGCAAGCTCCTTTGTCTTAGAAGTAAGAGGTGGTGAGGAAACAGGTGGAATAGGACTCATGATCTGGGAACTACATAAAGGAAAGCATGTAATTGGCACGATTCAAAGTTCTTGCATGGGGAGCAGGGGGCACGCATGGAAATAGCAATGCATTTCACTCCCACAGCATAACAAGTTCAGCAAACTGGAATAGAAGTATCTTTGAAGACAGTATCTCAACCCTGTTTCAGAACAAACTGCATGAACAGCAACTTTGACAGCTGCAGTTCCTGAAAACAGCAAAAATCTGTGCCTGGATAGCTACATAGTTTATGGCTGTGAAGGACGTTCACTTACATCAAACTTAGCATTTTGTTTCATCTTCCATAAAAAATAAGCAGACATAGATGGGAATTTAGCAAATACACATTTTCAGGATAAGCTTTTTTTTAAATGTTCTTAAGATGAAATTGCTAATACACAACACCTGCAAGCACTTGTCTCTGGAATGCAATTACACACAACAGAGCAGACAAAGCCAATGCTTGCAAAGCAAAATTATCAGACAGTAAATTTACCTGAAAGGAAGTAATCAAACAACTCTACTAATGTTTAAGTGTCACTGCAGCCTCAGAATACACCATATATCCCAGGACACCCACTTTACAGCTTAGCAGCAAGATCAATGAAAAGCAGAATTCTTGTAACACGAAAAGTATACCCTGCTGACACAAGTGATTAGACACTGAAGCTTAAGACTAAAAATCCTAAAAATTTCTGTTAAACATTCACAGGAGACTTCAGTTAACTAGGTTTGTTTGCACCTTGCTTAATACCATATCAATTAGATATGTTTCAGCCTTTCTTTTGGATTCCTGCAAGAACAGAAAGTGTGCTCCCCCAGCTCCTTTACATTCACTGGACTCTCCCTACACCTTCTTGTGCAGGATCAGGAAGACATTTCCTTCCATTTCAGACTGATTGGACTTTTAGATCCATATTCTTCGATGGAAGTGGGAAGCTGAGCCTCATACAACAACGTCATTAAAGACATCCTAACTTTTGCAAGGACAGAAAGAAGCAATGCCACTGTTTCTCCTGCTCTCCAGAAGCTGTCTTCCTTTCATGCAGTAAGGTCAAAGGTCACAACTTCGAGATTAAGAATCTTTGCTCTGTAAGATATCTGTAGTCAGGAAATGCATTCTGTGAAAGCTCAGGGGTTAGATTTTTTTAATGTCACCACTTCAGATTATAAAAGAGGATGTTGAATATAAAAAGGAGGAAGAATTTGAGGGCTTACATTGTTAAGTGTTTCTGCTTTTCTACTGGAAATCCAAGCTTCTTACCTGTCTATTTCTGCACCATTAGTTCCAGAAGTTGTCATGCTTTCTGACATTGAACCTTGACTGTCCCTCTTGCTAGGTTCCAGTCCATTCTTTATGTCATCAAAGTTTTCGTATTTCAATGCCTGGACTAACTGTAGCAGGTACATCAGCAAATCCTCACGAAGGAAAAAAATGAAAAGGAATTGAGGTGGTCAGTCAAAGCTGACTAGGAATCCGTATGTTTTCAAAATTCTGATTTATAGAAAAAACTTAGTCACAGTTTAGTGACCTATCAGGAAATGGAAATTGGGGTCTCCCTAGCAAGCAATATACAATAGAAAAACTGGTGTAGGATGGAGTTTGACTCCCAAAAGATACCGAGTTATCATGCTACTAAATTTTTGTTACTCAAAGGTAGTAAGTGCTGAGTAAAATATTTAAGTGCAATTACTACTTTAAAGTTCTCTCTCATTAAGCTGCCCTACTTGCTTCCAGCATCCACAAAATAAACCTTTCAGTTTGTGGCTCCCAAGAAGAAAATTCAAGCATAAAATCTGGACCATGGTAGCAGGAATTCAGATTCTCTTTTTTTTTTTGATCCCTTGTGTAGCTGGGGATCCACAAAAACCACGTAACTGATCTATTTTAGATTGAAGAATAGAATATTAATCACTTGCTGCTTATAATGAATTTTTTCCCCCTCTACTAATCAACTTGCTCTGTTTAGCTGCCTTCAAATGTTTCATAACAGGTACGTTTTTAAAGTCAAAGCAGTATGACCTTGGCTACTGAAGTGGGCTTGCAAAAATTGGATACATTTATGCTCCTTATTTTAAACTCTACTGATTGCCAAGGATTCAAGAGTTATGATAATATATTCAAAGTATTTTTTTTTACTGTCAAAATAAAATATATAAATAATTAAAATTTAACAGATTAGCACCTATTAAGTGGTTTCCACTCACAAATCACAGCTCATCGTGTTCTAATCAGTATACAATTAGAAGCACCTTATCTCCACAGATGCTTTTCTACTCACTTCCTTTAGCAAAAGAGTATGAAGATATACTGCTTCAATTTACGAGGTGGATTTGTTGGAAATCTTTTAGTAGACTATTTAAGTTTAGAGCGCTTCTATGCAGGTTAACATTCAAAATTTATCACTGGTTTCTGGGGAGAACATATGGTTGTTTCACCTTGTCTGACAAAGACAGCTATCACTGGTTGTTCATACTAAGACAATTATCAGCGAGTGACATTTACTAATATGAAGGCCTTGCTCCATGAAGAGTTTACAGTAAATAGCATCACAGTGAATTCAGTGAATTCTTTTTTTTTTTTTTTTTTTAAGTTTTCCATCACTATTATTCATTTAAATGACTTAAAAAGTAGCAAATCTTCCAAGTACTCAATGAGACTAAAAATCCTGAGACCAGCTGACTTTCACATGTACCCACAGACCAATGAATACCTCATCATCAGCCTGCTGAAGCCTGGCGACAGCATAGCGGCGAACCGTTGGGTTGGTGAAGTGAGACGAGAGAAGTTCTAGAGAGTCTTCCACATCCATGGGCTTCCACTTGCCCAGCAGCTCCAGTGCTTGCTTTGCCTCTTGTGGTAGGTCCCAGTTGACACATTTTAAGAATTTTGTCAAGGCCTAAACAGACAGAGATTGGGCAATTCATCAGTGAAAAGCCAAGCTAAACAAATTATTTAGAATAGAATATGGACTATTTCATTTGGAAGGGACCTACAACAATCATCTAGTCCAACTGTCTGACCACTTCAGGGCTGACCAAAAGTTAAAGCATGTTGTTAACAGCATTGTCCAAATGCCTCTTAAACACTGACAGGCTTGGGGCATCTCTAGGAAGCCTGTTCCAGTGTTTGACCACCCTCTCGGTAAAGAATTCCTAATGTCCAGTCTAAACCTCCTCTGGTGCGGCTTTGAACCATTCCCACGCATCTTATCACTGGATACCAGGGAGAAGAGATCAGCACCTCTCTCTCCACTTCCCCTCCTCAGGAAGCTGTAGAGAGCAATGAGGTCCCCCCTCAGCCTCCTTTTCTCCAAACTAGACAAACCCAAAATCCTTAGCCACTCCTTAGGACATGCCTTTCAGCCCTTTCACCAGCTTTGTTGCCTTCTTCCGGACACATTCAAGGACCTCCACATCCTTCTTAAATTGTGGGGCCCAGAACTGCACACAGTATTCAAGGTGAGGTCGTACCAATACGGAATATAACAGGATAACCACCTCTTTTGACCGGCTGGTCATGCTTTGTTTGCTGCACCCCAGGATGCAGTTTGCCCTCTTGGCTGCCAGGGCACACTGCTGACTCATGTGGAGCCTGCTGTCGACCAGCACCCCCAGATCCCTTTCTGCAGGGCTGCTCTCCAGCCACTCCTCTCCCAATCTATACTTAGAATCATGGAATCATTTAGGTTGGAAAAGACCTTTAAGATCATCCAGTCCAACCATTAACCTAACATTACCAAGTCCACCGCTAAACCAATTAAGGGTAGAGCAGCAATTTCATGTTTCCTCGCTTGGTGGCTGGATTATTTATAATGAAAGTAAAAACTAGGAATCATTAAGATTGGAAAGGACCTCTAAGATCATCATTCCAATCATCAGCCCAACACCACCATGCCCACTAAACCACGTGCCCAGCGTTACTCCATCCTATGTGCAGAATCCGGCATTTCAACTTGTAAAATTTCACCCCATTGATCATTGCCCAATGCTTCAATCTATCTAGATCCCTCTGCAAGGCCTCTTGTCCCTCAAGAGAGTCAACAGCACCTCCCAGTTTGGTATCATAGGTAAACGTGCTAATGGTGCATTCGACTCCTGCACCCAGATCATTGATAATTATATTGAACAGAACTGGCCCTAGGACAGAACCCTGAAGAACACCACTGGTGACTGGTCACCAGCCAGATGTAGCCTCATTCACTACAACCCTCTGACCTTCAGCCAGTGCGTCACCCAGCACACCATGAAGCTGCTCATCCCACAGCCGGGCAGCTTGTCCAGAAGGATACTGTGAAACTAATGTTTCATGTCACAGTAGAACTAGATTCAGACTATATTTACATAAGCACAGACCTGAGGAACCTTACTGATGTCAGTGACAATACAATACTGGATTGTTTTAGTATGTCCTAAAAAAAATGCAGCTGGGTTATCTTTTAAGTAAAATGTAAAGTCAATGGTTACTGCTCTACCACAATTACCACTACATAAAAAATATGCACTGCTGGGGAATTATTTAGTTATTTAATTTGCTTTGGGCTTTTGGTGTGCTGCTACTTATTCTGGTAATGCTAACCCTTGTCTAGAAGGGGCGAAGAAGCTCCTCTTTAATAATTCTTTCCTTGCTGAAGACAAAATTGGCAACACTGGTATTTTAGGCTGACAGTCAGCACTCGTAGAAAGACTGCTGTAGTAACAGCCAGTTAATATGATTTAAGAGGGAAATTTAGTCACCAATTTTTAAATCAGTAACGTTGTAGAAAAAGTTAAAATAATATTGACTGGCTTTTAAGACACTGAAGCTCTGTATCTCTGCGAGGACAGAACATCGTAGAATGGGTGCCAGATGAAGCACCTCTTGCATTAATAAGTATCCTCTCAAATCATTCAACTTACCTTCTCCTGATTAGTAAGGTAATATCGGAATTTCCAAACTAGATCCTGTTCCTCGTACGTTAGCTGCTTTGTTGGTGGATAACTCACTATGATCTATTAGACACACAGTCAGAAAATGAGTTTAAAAACATGAACAAGCATAATCAACAAGATAACAGACTACACTGACAAAGCAAAACACTGACAACACAAAATAGCTAGGGAAAAAAAAAAAGCTTTCCAACAACACAAAGTTCTCATGCTATCATGGTGATGCTCCTCAGTTATGTGGTTGATTGAACTGGCAGCACAGGCAAACATACAGTTACTTTAAGACTACCATTAACGCCTACAGGATATGTGCACAATACGCATTCTTATCCCCCCAAAACTCTTTTACAAAAAAAATGAGCAAGTACCTTCTGCTGCCTTCCGAGTTGGACTCATCTAACTAACCACTTGTAAGAAGCACTTAACATTTCTTCATTAATTGCTTTCTTTAAACTGAAATGAAGTGTACTGTCCTTAAATTGTCACCACATATTAATACCAAGCTACCTAATAAAATTGAATTTAGCCATCATAGGACTGACTTACATTAAGCTGATCTCGCGTAGCTGCATTAGGCTTCAGATCATGATCAGAAGGTCCACTTCTTAAACTTCGAGCAAGCTTGTGATGTTTGCTTTCTACTAAGTTCTCCTAAATGCAGAGGGTAAGTCAGTATTTATAAGTATCTAAAATACAGAGAAAATTACTACTGAAATGAAACCATCTAGCAAAGACTCGCCAAGATCTTGAATAATGCATGACAATTAAAATTCACATCTAAAACTACAGCGTCTTCTGGATTTTTTTGTTGTTGTTTTAGAAGAAACTCCTTCAATAATATGTGGAGGGTTGTTGGGGATTCTGAGGTTTTTGTTTGGTTTTTTTACTTCACACAATTTACAAACCCTATCTTGCCTTTTGGTGAATTGCTGCGAAATGCAAGCGCTTCAGTCAACACGTCTGTGATTTTTACTTCACACAATTTACAAACCCTATCTTGCCTTTTGGTGAATTGCTGCGAAATGCAAGCGCTTCAGTCAACACGTCTGTGATTTAGACAGCACTCAAACGTGCTAGCTGCTTTATAAACATTTTTAGGACATTTGCAGTATAAAGCTTTGTATGCAAGAAAAACTTCTCAAAAAGTTTTCCCACTGTTAATACCATGTTAGCAACAGTAGGAGCCACAATAGGAGCCGCAGTGCCAACGAGATTTCAGCAGCCAAGGCAGTTTTCAGCAGTCAGACTTGCTCTTGCAGTGTTAGATTACACAGTGCTCAAACAGTGTTGCCAGTAGAAGCCCACTTACATTAAGGTTCCCAAAGCTGCCAATACCAGTCCCACTGAATTGGCATCCACAATAATGGAAATCTTTTCTAGAACTGTACTTAGGCACTGTCTACATGAAAGACAACATACAAGAGAGTGTAGGAAGAAAATATTTTAACAGACAAAGTGACCAAGAGTTACTGCACCTTCCACTAAATTTCTGTTCTTCAGCTCCCTCTTACCTTATATTCCCACCCTCTGACCTCTTTTTCCAACAATCCCCCTTTTCTCTGCTTTCCTACACCTCAGAAGCAAGCACATTAGGTATGGAAAGGAGGAGATGAACATAAGCATTAAATCAATTCTTGTATTTTAATCTAGCAGGAAAAAAAAAAAAAAAGATTAGAAAAAGTCAAATCCAGCGATACTTCTCAACTGGTCAAATACACCTTTCCACTGGAATTTTAAAATATTGAAGGCAGCAATATAGGCAAGCTTTCATCTCCATTTATGAAAACGTCAACAAAACTACTGTAATACAGATTGCATTACGTGGAGCATTGCTTACCATAGACATCTGGGGATCTGGAATCTTAACAATTTCAGAACTTGTTAAAATTGGAGATGACTCATCACCATCCTGAATGACAAAAAGTTAAAAGCATATTACATCTCAAGTTTTAGGAAAAAAACAACATGTCATATTAATGTATTGTGAATTACACTACAGTGAAAGAATGATGCAACCGCACCTTGCTGACTTCTGATAGTTATAAAGGGGAAAACAGAAAATAAGAAATGGATTATTTTTCTTGTTAGTTTTTGCCAGATGATAAACAAGGTGGCAAGACAGATGAAAGTTCATCTGAGGAGACGTAGCCTGGCAACTCACTACTATGCCTGGTACACAGGCAAGTGGAGAAATTTGCCGTTACCATTACATGTGTCCTCTGGAAGCACAAAAAGAAACCAAAACAGGGTCCATATTTCCATTGAAAACAAATAATGTCCTAGAAATAACAACCATGTCGCAGAAAATATCTCCTAATAGTTCAAGATACAGGCTCTCTGAAAACAGATGAATTTAGGAAGATCTACGTGTGCCTGTCTATCACAGGTTCCACCTGGAGTGTGACAGTCTCTTCTAGAAGCTCATGCCATGGAGCAGTACGACAGGAGCCTGCTAGTTCTCCTTGAGGGAGTCTAGCCTGCTGCTGTATAAATAAGGGAAAGTAGTTAAAAGTTTCACTGTTTGAACAAGGCAGAAGGAAAAAATACAAAGCCTGCCTCCACATGACAGAAACAGCAACTCTGTTTCCCTCTTCCAGTCACACCCAGCACTTCAGTTTTGGGGTTTTTTTACCTTAGAAGGGTAACTAAGCATTAACTGACACAATCTACAGAAGAACATTTCATTTAAAAGACAGTATAAAACAGTAAAACAGAAAAAATAAGACAATGCCAGCATATGTGCTATGCTATATTTATACTTAGTTTGTTCTCATTTATTTTGGAGTAAATTTTAGCTCAGAATAAAGTTGGGTTTTTTAACATATCAATGTTTCCCTCCGTAATCTAAGTTTTGAGATAACTTGCTCAGGTTTGCTTCTGCCCCCACCCTCTTTTTTTTTCTTTCCTCCCGCTTTTACAATCACATATGACTCTGGGGATGGCTTTGCTTTTATACTTTTCAGAGGTAACTTTCAAAGAAGCGAGGAGGAAAAATGAGTCACCAACGAGACACAGGAGTTAAAATTGCCATTAACATTTCAGGAGAATTTTTTTTTCAGCTACATAAATTTTGTCTTGCTGACTACAGTAAAAGATCTCTTATTAAAATGCACATTCAGCAAGACTGTAATGTAACTTCTGTTACATTTATTAGCATCCTATGTCTTTCTGAAGTAACAATTTTACAGTCAAAATAACAACAGTAACTACACACACTTCCTTCCTAGTTAAGGGAAATACACATACAATCTGGCTGTGGCTGATGATGATCCCAGAACATGAGCAGTATTGCTTTTCTCATTAGTCTTTACAAAAAGAACACACGCAAACACTGAGGAGGACAAAGAGGACATTTGCTTCCAGTTTCTCTGTTTTAAAACCATACTGCCTAAATGATTAACTTAGCTTTAACCTCATTGTATAGAATTAATAGTATTTCTAGAGCAGTTCTATTATAACAAAATACTACTGCGTCACTATAAGAGTAGACTGAACTGAGTCGGAGCCACGCCGACAGATCAGATCAGATCATGTGGTACTCGTGTTTGCCATCTCATCAGACAGAACTTTCAGATCATGATGTCATGTTAGTTTTACAAAGTCAAATTACGTAAAAACACGATGAAATTGGTGGGGGTTCGGGGGGAATCCTTCTGAAAATAAAAACATCTGACAACAAGAGATGACAGATCGATTTCTACTAACTGGTTATCTTCCTAATCAAAACCATACTAAGGCTGCAATCTGACTGGACCTTTATAAAACAACAAAGGGTTACCAATGCCCCAATTCCAAGTTTCCACTCCGTTCAGGCCCTTCACACCAAAGCGCTGCAGGAAAACTTGAAACAGGACTGGATTCACTAGCAACTCATAATGTTCGAACTCCTACTGAAGCATTTATAACATCAATATTCCATGTGGATTCTCTAGGGACAAGCAGTAATAACACCCATACTACTACACTTTTCTCTCAGTGAAAACATTCAGGTAAAATAGCTGTAAAAGGAAAGCCTGACAAAGCTTTTAGGCTGGTAAAAATGGAGCACCCACCGCACAATCAAAAGCCTATGACAGCTATTACCAACTCAGAACTTACTAGGATGAGAATAACAAAAGCACAATTGCCTAAAATCTGCTTACTTACAAAACTAAAATAAAAAAACCGCATAAAGCCTTCCAGTGACTAATGTCAAAATATTTATAAACACACTTTAAAACCAAGCCTGGGGACTTTTTCCAAAACTAGTGTTAAAAGAATGCTTTCTAAACTCATTGCTGACATGTGTCTTTTTAAACCTTCCGAAAGAAATATTATAATGGCTCTTCTGTAAACTCCTCTTCTCAAATGCAGCTAGATTATGCTGCAGAGCCAAGCTGAAAAGCTCTAGTTATTCAGTTCAAGCACTAGGAAAACTTTATTTCCATTGTGTTTTAGAACAAAGCCTTAAGCTTCAACCAAAACTTGCTATGAAACCGTGTTTTGCCAAAGTATTCGTGGGACAAGTTACTGTGTCAGGAGTTAACATTTTCAGAACAAACCTCAAGAAGGCACAGGGCCATTAGTTTGACCGTGAAGGATGTCCGCTGTTTAACTTTGCCTTCCAATTAGATTAACACACGGCTCTAATTTTCTCCCATTTGGAGAGCATCACATGGATCCCTGTGACCCTGACCATACAAACTTACAAAACCGTACCAATGCCTGAGGATCAACTCTACATTAGCATTTTAATTTGGTCAGGGGCATGCTTTTGACGTGTCTCTCCTGACCATCCCCATGTAGCGAGCTTTGCTTCGTATCATGGAGGTTTTAGAAATACCTAACACCCTCCAGCTGCCAACAGTCATTCAGCCCATGGGACTTGATTGAAGCCAGTCCCAAGCGTAAGCACACAGTGCCGACATCGGGCCTTCAGCAACACCTTCACTCTGTAAATCTGCTCCTCTTGGCCGCATTACTTGCTAGCACAGCCAGAACATGACATGACCTGCTATTTTGCCACTGGGAAACAAAAGTAATGTCAATATTAAACAGCATTAACTTGCTTTAAACTACTACGCTACAAGAGCTTTAGAGGTATTTACATTAAGGTCAGTGCGTGCGACTTCATATTAGAGCCCATTTAAGAAAGTCAGCAAAATATGCAGAATTTTCTGAACCAGCAAGGTTCTTCTGCACTTTCCTGAAAATCAGTTTCACAACATCAATAGATGAGGAGGTTCTATTTATCTTACTCTTTAGTCAAAACATCAAGTAACACCAATGGGATCCAACTTCTCCCCCACAAAAAGTAAATGAACACCCAGTGCTCTAGACACTACTTTTTCTTTCTTTCAAGCCATGAAAAAGGCTCTGATAATCACACTACTTTTTTAAAATAAACTGGATACAGCAGTGCAATCAATTTATCTACTCAAACAAAGGTTTCACTTGAAACCTGCACAAAAACACATTAATGATAAACGCTGGTGTTACTTGCACTTGAAAGTCACACTGAATTTTTGCCTAAATGGAGAATCAGAAGTGATGCTCTCGTTACTAGCAGACTGCTATCCTTCACACCTTGAATGCTGTATTAAAATTAAGTTCAGGGAATATGGAAAGAGCCACTGCTACTTCACTTCATTGTAATTGAATGTTGAGTCAAAGAATCTCAAATTCTATCAGCCACTGTTTAACAGGCTAGTTCTTCGTAAACACTTGAAAACAAATTTATCAACAAAACTGTGACAAGTAATCTCCACTTCGACTATCAGTCACAGGCAGGTGACAACAGAACCTACTTTCATTAGACTCGATATACTGGATTGGTGATGCCGGATATGTATACTGCACACTGTAATTGGAAGCACGACAAAACTGAGAAGACAGGCACTAATTTATGTACTGTTACCTACTGCCAGAAAAGGGTCAAGAACTTGTTGAAAAGCTACTTCATAACAACAAATCCCTCCAACTGCAGTTAGTTATAGCTTTAATATGTACTATTACACATTCAATTACTTTATTTCCACAGGAGCAGCCAATTCATAGTTATTTTGTTCCACGCACTTTTAATATGCTTCAGAAACACTTGTTAAAAGATGCATGCTTGAAGTCTGAATCTTCTTTCCTGCATCTCACACATCTGTAAAACCATAATGATAACAAAAAAGTTGTGTGTGTAAATCAGGAATAATTTATCTATAATGGTAGGTTTCTGGAGGTGAGGGAGAGAAATCATTTTATAGTTGAATGTGACAGTCCTAAAAAATGAAAGAGCCAAGAGGACACAAAGCTGCACAGTAGCCATGCTCAAAAGTTTGCACCTGTGGAAAGTACAGCACATTCTAATGTAAAAAGCTAATGGTTAGTAAAATGTTTCAATATTTTGATCATATTCTATTATGTTCTCCAGAAAAAATTTCCTTGATTTCCACAGAAGTAAATACCTTTATTTTGTTTCATGGATGAATCTGACACACTGTAGGTTTTATTCTGATTTGTAACACAAGGGAGTTTTGTAATAGTAAGGTGACCCTAGAACCAGCTATTGTAGAGTGGTGTTTAGAAGCACTATAAAACAAGATATTCTAAAGGCAAAAAGACTTGGAAAGGTGGGGAGTGGTCTCAATGTCAACTACAGTCCACAAAAAGAAATGCTAGAGACCTAACCTAGACATCTGCCTAAGTCACAGTTTCACCTAAATTACCAAAATTCACCAAAAAAATAATAAAAAAAAAACAACACACAAAACCAAAAAACAAACCACACCACCAAAAACCCCAAACTAAAAAAACCCAACCCGAAACAAACCCACACCCCAAAAAAACCCACAAAAAAACAAACCACAAACAAACAATCCCCCCTAAAAATCAAACAAACAAAAAACCAAACCAAAACAAAAAAAACCCAAACCCCAGGAACCCCCACCCCAACACACCCGACATAATTGCCTCAGACTGTGGGAGGAGATGCTAAGTGACAAGTGGAACTGCTATTTCCTCCAGAAGCATTACAAAGGCAGCTACCACTACATGGGATATGTGGACAGAGCACAGACATCCACATACATTATTTTTATATCACGTCTGCAAGACGCAGCTCTTACAAGGGCTTAGAAAATTTCTTTAACAGACACTCATTTTTGTTATGACTACAGCAATTTGAAAAACAACGTTAAGAGCTTCTTCTATAGTGGCATCTCTGTTAAAATAAATTCTAAGACTACTGTTGATAATAGTTTCAGATACTCAGTAACACCTTAATTCAAAGGGCTAGATTAACAGCATTTAAACAGTTCTTTTTTCAAACATTCACAAGCTTTAAGTTGCAACAGATCATACAGTTGACACATTCTGATCTGTGCCTTCTCAAAATTTTTTTTGTGGAATCCTGCTTTTTGCAATTTATTACTATATTTTTCACTACCTTCTTCAAGAATCTTAAGTTAGATCACAGTCTCCTGTCCAGATCAACCAGTAATGTCACATACATAGAAATACTTGTAATCTATTTTCCATTGTATTAACATTTTGTATACTGAATTACAGAATTTTTAAATTCTCAGAATAGACACTGCTTCAAGTTAGTGCCTCTGATCTGAAAAAGGACTTCAGTCTTTCTACCTTCTTTCTCTTTCCCATAAAACTGCATTACTCAGTAACTTTTCTGACTTCTTAGGAAACTAAACATGCTGAAAATTTTAAGAGGCAGCTACTGACAAATTTTTTTGAAACCAGATTACAGATACACTGCTTTTTCTATTTCAGTGGGTCTTCCCAGAATACACAGGTCCATAAAAGTACTGATAATGCCTTCCAATGCCACGCTGATGTCTGTTAAGCTCATGTTAAGCGCTGATGTCTGTTAATCCTTTGTTCCATTAAATTTGAACTCATAAAAAAAAAAAGAACACCGAAGGCACTGCTTTGGAGAACTGTTTTGTAAACAGAAGGAAAAGAGGCAAGACATTCCAATCCAAGTCTTTTACTTAATTGACTTCAACAGCATTTTCTGCATGAAAGACTAAACTTCTGTGTTGGTTCATTTTAGAGAAAACCCAGCAGAGCTCCTGTGCAAAGTTTTGATAACTTATCTTTTATACAGTTACCAAACAATACAGGTACATTTCTTCCTGATACAAGACATAATTTTACATACAGCTACTCTGAAAGTACTGCTGGATAACCGAAGGAACCGTAAATCAAAAAGTTTAATCACTCACACTTACAAAATTCTGTAATCTTGCACTTTATCACACAAATGATTGACTTCTGTAGTCTTGTTGCATCTATACTACTTGATTTGTATGTACATAAACAGTTGCCACTGACAGCTGTCTGCTGCTATCCTGCAGCAGAATATTTCACCTCAGCAGAAAAGCCTATCCACTTCAGGTGCATATGTTGCTTTTTAAAGACGACCATAAAGCCTGCAAGGCACATACCTTTTCGTAGTAAACTATTCCATATTCTTTATCATCACACTTGACGCAACGGAATTCAATCATCAGGTACATAAAATTAGAACTTCGTTTTTCCCTCTGAGAAGAGAACCACCACCGATGTTTATCATATATTGAAGTGCATCAATCGTCAGCATTCTCAGTACAGCAATTGCCCTACTTCCTTTATGCTGTAACTGATTAATTAGATTATCAGTTGTTGTAGCAATTATTCAGTTACTCATTTCATAGCCCTACTTGAAACCGTTATCACCTTCCTCCTGACATTCTTACTTCCTTACATTCCCACTTCATGATAAACATCCACTTGCAACAGATAAAAATCACATTGTTTTCATCAGTGGCTTGCAACTGCGGACTAAAGGTCTGCAAAAAGGCAGTGAAGAATAACCAGCTGACAGTTGGGTTTTTCATGTGGGGTTTGTTTTGTTTTGGTTTTTAACTCATTACACACAATTATGCATGTCAGTCAAAAAATGGAAAACAGTAAAAAAAAATCACTGTTTCAGATAAAACCTTGACAGAGACAAATTAAACTTGGACTACAAGATTAGACTTGCAGCTCATTCACTTTCAGAGGAAGATTCCTTATGTATTCATTTTTAAATGCTTTACCTAGAAAATGTGCTTAGAATTTTAAAATCTATGTGGGGAGCAAGAAAGAAGTTATACATAAACACCACCAGGAATATATATTTAATAAAAAGAAAAGCAACCCCTTTAATAATGAAGAACTCAAGTTCGTCTCATGCATTAATAATGGACTGATTTTCCAGCACAGGCAAAGTGGTTCTGCATTTAAGGCACAGCTCTAGGAATCAGGAATTTTTAGTTTTCTTTATTTTTACAGGAAAGGAAAAAGGGGGGTGAGGAGTGGAGAAAGGGATAGGCTGAGTTCTCAAAAAAAAAAAGAATTCATAAGGGTTTATAAAAACAAAAATTTAAGTTTAAAAAGAATTTGATTCCCTGAGGTCTAATTATAAATAGGACAAAAAAAATCTCAGAGCGCAAAGCAGAAAACAAAGGAGTTCTGTTGTGCAAGGTTAATATAATCAGTTAACTGCTTTGGGGTGATTTTGCTCAATGAGAGTTAACACCTCATTCAGGTATTTAACTACCAGGTTTTTAGTTTTTATATTTTTTTAAATATTCGTTCAAATCTTACAAGTGTTTTTCCTCAGCACCCAAAACCAAAACCAGTAAAGCTGAACAGGTCTAAAACCAAGGCACAGCCTGTATGTCCAAAAAAGCTTCCCATCACAATGCAAATTCTAGAGTTAAGTTAGGCATACCTAGCAGTATTTGCTCCAAGCTATGCCAAATTATTAATAAATTGTCTCTTCTGTGATAAAGTTCACTTGAAGCTGACAACTGATAAGATAGCTCTCTATTCTCGTGATTGCCAAAGTAAAATCAACTTTGGTATCTTAAATTATTTTCCCTTTTATCATGTAAACTAGTGGTTGAAGAAAAACAGGACTAGTCCTTTGCGTTACTCTCCTAAGCAAGCAAAGTTTCCATATTAGCAAGATCAAAAAAAACCATTACAAATCTGATGTACAGTGGCCTACCTCATTGATCATTTCTATTTCTCTAAAGGTCAGTCTGTCCAGCCAGTCCACTTTCACCATATGACCTTGTCGATGAGACTTGGTGAGCTGCATGAACACAGACAATGATAGTATTTAAGTTGCTGGGAGCAAGAAAAAGAATATCAAAGTCATAATTTTACAGAGACACTAACATAAAATCAGGGGAAAAAAAAATAAAGGAACTGGAAAAAAATGCTTGTACAGTACACACAGAGTAGATCCTCATAAACAGCTAAGCCATGCCATAAAAATAAATTCTAATATCTAAAACATCAATCATGGCAGAAACCAAAACCACATTCCAAGCACATCATCAGTGAATTTTTAACACATTAAAAATATGAACCTATTTTTAACCAAAGTCACATAAATTTTTTGTATGTTACTAAGTTTCATACAGTGTTTCTTCCCTCTTATTCACCTCCCCAGAGTTTAATTTGGTGTTACAGTCTAGCAACACTTTTCCTACCTCTAAGCAGGAAACAAAACTCCCAATTCATTCAGTTTTCTTGGGAACAGTTCACATCAGAAAGAGATGGAATACACTACAGCCCACACCATGGCCTCTGCGCCTTCTCAAGATCCGAATTAAATCTTAAGACAGATTACTTATGAAAGCAAGCATGACATTTAGCTCTGAATCCCAATACTTGCTCATTTCACAAATATGTTACCTAATTCAGCTTCTCTGATTCTTGGTTCCTACTAAGTCTACTAGAGGTGAGGCTTCAAATTTTCCAGTCAATATTAAACATCAACTATAGTCTTTTACTTTGGTAGAGCCAATAACTAATCAAAAGCAGTCACAATTTAGAAAGCAGTCAAACAGCTATTCAGTTGGAAGGAAAATCCTGCTTTTTTTTTTTTTTAAAAAAAAAACTTATTTCCAGATTTCCTAGGAACTGGCCATTTCAAGAAGCACTAAACAGTAAGTTAGCCATGAGCATCTGATGCCCTTTGTTCTGAACTTGTTCCATGAAACACAAAAATATAATCCCATAACAACTATGAGATTGTTTGCTTAAAGCAGCTTATTCACCTAACATTCCTTTAAGCTCTAGACAACAGTATAGCTTGACAGAAGTAATAACATTTTGATGCAAACTCTGGAAGACCACTGCAACTTCTAAGAATTAATTAACTCTGTTCAGTATATAGTAGGGGCTTTTTTTTCATTTGTTTTGTCTCCAGTAAACTCTTGGACAGCTAATCTTCAGATTACCTTCAATAAACTTCAGAAACTTAACAGTACAAAAGGAAAAGGAAGGGTGGGGGATGGGGGGACAAAGTATAATCCTTAATAACATTTCAGGATGCTGGATATAACCAAAGCACAGACACCAGTCTCTTTGGGTTCTTTCAACTTATCAGCAGGATTGTAAACAGGAGGACAGTATAGTAATATTTTTTTGCTATCTTATGTTACATTCTGCAGCCAGTTCATCAAATTCTACCTCAGCGATATTACAAAGACAGAGTGTGCCAGGACTGTACTAAAAGGATAATACAAGACTTTGCCTGTGCCTCATCTGTGACTTTGTAATATATCCCAAAGCTAGAGAACCGGCAGCATGCAGACCGGTTGTAACCCAAGATGGTTTCAGGCAGGCTGGACATCACCACTTAATGCATTCACAAACGTCCTACTTAGTTCACAGAAAAGGTCTTCTCATTCTCAGCAACGAAGAAATTCCTTACCCTTACATGTCCACCATTTTAGCCACTTCTAAATTACTCCCTAGTTTGTTTTTTTTTAATCTAACAAAAAACTTTTTTCTTACTCCAGGTAGCCCTCTTATTTCCACTACCTTAAACCAATGCATCAAAATTTTCAGAATACCACATATTCACATCCAGCATTGACACACAGATTTAGGATAGCACTTATCAAAGCCTTAGCAAAAAAATGTTATTCAGATACCTCAGTCACAAATTCTTAGTTCATTTTCTTGTTCACTGCACTAGAGAATAAAGAAAAAAGTCATTCTGTATGTTTTAGAGCAAAATTATTAAGCCCTTAAACCTGCAAACCTCTCTTATAGAGACAAAAGAAGTCATAATACAGCAACTAGTTAGGCCTACATACAAGACCCAGAAGATCTGTAGGCATATAAATACACATGAAGAACCGTTCTCTTGGGTTAATATTTAAAGCTTAAAATAAGAGAGAAGCTAGTGCATTCCCTTCAGCATTCATCATATGCTACTAAATAAGAGGCATCCCTTTAGATACTATCTCACCATCGTTATTATCCGATTTCATTCAGCCAGCAGAAGGTGTGAGGGAAATCAATGGATCAAAAAGAACTTAAGAGTACTTTTTGTTTAAGTAGAATAAATTAACATACCACTCATGGGAGAAACATCTTAATGTCATTAATATTTGAGCATGCTAAGGTACTCTACACTCTTCCCATTAATATTCCTTAGTACAGGAAAAATCTGCATTCACAATGACCCCCAGGATACAAAGTCACGGCTTTTTCATCAGTAGCAATTTTACAAGCAACGTTCATGTGTTCTGTAAGAGCACAACCATATGGCACTCAAGATGAAATGAGAGACTTGCCACAGTGTCAATTATTTAAGATAAAAGAATGCAACTCCTCCAGCAGCCAGTCACTGATTTTATACAAATTCCCTATAATACCACACACATACAAACACACGCAAACTCAGAAGCATGTCAAGAAAATAAAAAGTTATCTTTCAGATGGAGAAAAGGTTCTTCAGCGAGCTCTTCTCAAAAGTTACTTATTATCTGGAGGACTCTAATTTGGCCTCTGGTATCAGGCATCAGTCAATATCATGACACTTACAAGTCTGTCCAATAAACAGAAAAAACCAAAACCAAACCAAGAATAACAAAGTCCACACAAACTAATCTTGTATTTAATTAGTCCTACTCCACATACCTATATTTAAATACACCTTCACATTCAGTAGCATCAGGAGGCATTCAGCAACTGATGAGTAAGTCACAGAAAAACTGAAGCCTATTGTGCTCAAACAATGGCCACTGAGGAATGATACATCACAAGAACCTCATCTGCTGCGTAAACAGCTGTGCAAATGAAAGCTCTCATAGACACACTACCCAGAAACCCTATTCACTTCGCTAGCATCTGACAGGAAAATGTTTTTGTAAATGAACACAACAAAATACCAGTGAAAACACTCTCATCTTTCAGAAATTAGTATCTCCCAAAACAGCTTTCAGAAGAGAAGAATGGTGGCAGTGATGTTATTAGCTTTTTATCAGCTGTTAACTAGAACACTCAATTGGTATGTGAAAGGAGAATTCCCTCCTTTTCCTTAGAAGCTTTGAGCCCTCTCTCTCATATGCCGAAAGAACAGGCTAGAACAGACTCAGCTATTTTAAGATGATTGTATTTCTTGAGCTAGAGAGCATAAGGGAGTGAAGGGAAGAGGAGAAAAAACACTGGTAGGGTATGGTCACGTTTGCATAACAGAACTAACATGAAAAGGAAGGCCTACACACTAAAACCCTTTCTCAGAGACCCACTCCCTACATCATGTAACCATGTGATGAACTATAAACAAGCCTTGATATTTAGTGTCTGTCTACAGAGCTTCCTTCAGCTAGATGGGATTTATTCGAATATGATCACGATACGGGGCACCACCACTGGCAGAAAGCTTTAGTGAGTTTTCTATTGTAAATTCAAGGTGAACTAGACTAATAAAAGAGAGACCGTAAAGGAAAGTTAGTTTATTGCTGTGATAAATCTCTAGATGAGAAAATGGACATATTTATGGCACCGGACCTATCTTTCACTGGAAGCTGCACAAAGCTGAGGATGAAAACTAGGAGACCAAGATTAAGAAGGAAGTACGCTGAGTAAGTGGGTTGAGTGATTTGGCAAGCTTGGGGTAAGCTTACCTGAAGAATGAGAGAGATCAGCTGGAAAAACAGTTCAAGAACTAACACCTACTGATCAGTTCCAGACGCAGTTTTCGTGGCAAAAATACACTCTGCCATCAAGCAAGGAGAAGAAAATACCAGTATACACACAGATTCATGAGCTTAAATGAATGAAACTTTGGTTAATTTTTGCAGTTCTATTCAAATTCTTTATAATGTAGACATGCGTCACACACAGCTGAATACTATACCAGACAGCCTTAAATCTAAAGGATGGCTACTGAAAGAAACTAGACTGTCCTCACAAGTTACCGGCAGGAGCTTTTACTGAACCTGATGGAATTTTGGCTTCAAGCATCTTCCAGGCATGTTCACATTGTTATTCTTTACTAAGAATTAGGATGATGTTACAACAGAATGTTATGTATATTAAAGGGTATTTATATGTCCCCTTTTAAAAAATACTTCAGAAGCAAATGAGTACGAGCTAGTTTACTCATTTGTATAAATCCTGTGAAATACCTAAAAAATCAAAGGAAGGTAACTTTCACATGAGAAAACAACATGAGAAGCCTGTCTTCATTTCACTCCAGTGATAGTGTAAGCTTTCCACATCTTAAAGGTTACTTGCTATTCCATCACCTTTGCCAAGCGGCTCATTTGATCTTCAGAGACCGTGCTGCTTGTTCTCCCAGGAGTTTTGGTGGGCTCCGAGCCATCAGCTTCTACGTTGGGCCAGACTTTCAAATCATGCATTCCTTGACGAAACATACTGCAGGGAAAAACGCAGACTCACTTCAGTAAATTCAAAATAATACAGCTGTCAGGAATCAAAGTACAGCAGCAGCTGCAAGAAAATGAAGTAGCTTCCTTTGCCAAACCTACAAATATGCACTGCCATGCATAATTTAACTGAACTGCAAAAGTGTCTTACACCTTGTGCCCTCTACGGCCTTCATTTTTATTGGCACACAGAGTTTAGAAGAAAATGAGTAAGTCTGAGATAACTTATTTGGCAAGTGGAAGAAAAATGGGTAATTCCCAAAGTCAGTGGGGTGGTACAAACGCAAACTGAGGACAGAGCTTGACCTTCATATTTTATTACTTGTAATGAAGCAGAAAGTATTCCTCTTGACTTGCAAATTATAATACTAACTTTAGGTCTGCCAGTCTGAAAAAAATTCAACTAAAAAACTACCTAAGTTTCATTTGAAGGTCAGCTGATAAAAAGCAGCCTTCTAAGCTGCCAAATAATAAAAAATCCCAACCCTACAACCCTCAACATGCCATTTTCTCCATCTATGCTTGAAATTGAATTGGTAATTGAAACTGTGCAGTGAACAGAACTCTGCAGGGTAACTGACCACAACTTTTCTCCAAAAAACTCTGCTTCCCTTGCACATTTCTGCTGATCCACTTACGAAAGATGCCCCAAAAAATCAGCTGCATTAGTTCTGCCATTAAGAGGTGATCACTTAACTCTAACAACTTCAGGTAAATACAACTGGAAGGAACGCTTTAAAAAGTCAACCATTAAAAATGAGAAATAATGACTAGAAGGACCATCTGACCTTGAATTTATACATCACTTCGTGGAATACTACTACAAGGGCTTCCACTTACAAGTAAATACAAAGTTTTGAAATTATTTGTTGCTTTCTGTCCATCTACTTCCTCCAGGCCCCATATGCTGGAAAGAAAAGTAAATTTCATTTATAATTGTGTCTTTTTCCAGGAACTATGCTCTAATGCTTTAAAAGCTACCAGCAGTCTTTGGGGCACAGTCCCACTGATCCAGTCTAATTTTCTGCCCTAAGACAATGACAATCTTTTTGTCAAAGCAGTATCTTCAATGAGAGAGATACAACCTGTCTCTATAATAATTTTCTGCATTCAAGCGTCACTAGAACAGCTTTCCTAATGCTAACCTAAACTTTTTCTGCATTTCAGTTTACCCTTATTACTTCTTATCCACTGAAAAGACCAAAAAAGGCTATTTCTCCCCATTTTCCAACGCTACCTACATACTAGAAAAGTGTTCCTACAGTCTCTTCTTCAGCCTCACTAGCCTTTACTCCTCCATCACACCTATTTGCTAGACGTTCAATGATATGGACTCCCTTAGACTCCAAGTAGTCAGCAGCTTGCTTAAAGTCAGTTATATAGAAGTGAACATACCCCACCCAAGTGGATGAGTATGGAAAAGGAGGATACAACATTGTCCTGGATGTGCACACTTGTAGACCATTCATATATTCAGTGTCTGCACATTTCACAAGAGCATCATGATGCTGAATCATGCAAAACTTCAGATTCACTCTAAAACCCAAATCTTTTCCTGTGTTTTCCTGAACAGCTGCTCCCCATACAATCCCCATTGTATTTGACTACAATCAATTACAAGAAGTACCAGCGCCTCATACTTTTCCTTAAACCGCATCCTATTGTTTTTTTCAGTCCCCTTTGCACTTAGTTAAGATCCTTTTGATGTATTGTCACCTTCCAGCAACTTCCCACCTTAGTGTTATCATCCACAAAGTTTACTAAACCTACCCTCTACTGGATCACAGATTATTGATTTTGAAAATTCCTGATTTACTGAGTTACACTTCCTTATAAATAATACTGCACTAACAGCCCAATTGCAAGCCAATTAAATCAATTACCTTAAGTAATCAGTACTGGCATCCACGCATTACACAAGTATAAATATGAAGCGATTTCAGCATTTCCTACCTTAAAATCCAAGCTTACAGATCTTAAAAAAAAAAAAGGCTAAATTTTGGTGTTATATAAGACTTTTTTTTTTACAACACTGTAGCATGTATGAAGTTACACTCAGGAAGAAATACAGTAAGTCATCTACGTATCTGATTTTTCAAACATGGAACTGTTAACCTGGTTTAAAAAAAAAGTTTAACAAAATAACTCATAACCACTGCTACCTTACTATTCACAAGTAAGCTTCAAATCAGTACCACAGAAGAAAAAGCAGTATACCCATATTTCCCAAAGAGCGAGACCGTTGTTCCTCCCACAGGAACTGCTTTACCAGGTCCATATACATCCCAGATGGTCAGAGCCACCTGTGCATTGCGAGGCAAGTCTGGATACTTCACAGGCAGTTTCAGCCATTCATTCCAGCTGCAAAGAAACACTTTTTATTAGTCATACAGCTTTAGAATTCAAGTTACTCTGTATTAGCTTATACAACCCAGATTCTCCTTAGAAGATGAATTTCTAAGGGCAGATGTACTATCTTTCTCTGGTATTTAACCATTCAAATACTTGTCTTGAGCATGATTACAAGGCTAGAGACCAAAGGAAAAACACTCTAGCTTAACGAGTAAGTACGAAAGATCAGTCTGTCGAGTAAACAGCATGAAAGTGTGCTAGTCCAGGCCCCAGAAGTTATTTAAGTAGTGAACCATGCCCAAACACACAAGTAACAATTTTATTACTTGCCCATTACATAAAAAGTTTAGTTTTGTGCTGTCAGGGCAACATTTAATAACCAGAGACTTGAAGAAACATAAGTTATTTGAAGAAAACAACAGAAAACAAATCTTTTTGAAACAAAGAAAAAAACATATGTTTATTCATATAACTTGATGCCCTGGTAACTAAGAGGAATATGAAATAAGAGGTAGTCACTTACTTCCATCTAGTGCTAAAAGCTTTGTAGGAAGTTCTAACTGGAAGAGCAAGAGGCTTCCCTTCTGCAAACACCTGACAAGTTACATACAAGTCAGAGCAAGTTTCTTGATACAGTCCTGAGAACTTCAGCATTGGATCTTCTAAGAGAGCTTTGTAACTCTTCTGTTCTCTTTTCCCTTCCAGACTGCCTCTATGTGGGCAGGAGCAAAAAAAAAAAAAAAGAGAGAGAAAATAAACAAACCCCAAATTATTTTATCCACAGTAAAAATCCTATTCTATTTCCATAGCTTATATTTAGATTACCCAGTACTGAGGCTATCCTCACTTTGCATTACTAGCTGGTAGTGAAATCTAAATATCAGAGAGGAACTCAGGATGTGAAGTGATGAATAAATACAGAATTTATTGCTATACTGATTGGAGGGGGGGGGGGGGGGAAGAGCAGGGAAGGGAAGAATTACTTATTTGTCTTTTCAGTGAAGATAGCTGCTTCTAGTACAACCTGTAGATTCTCAGATAGCATCAAATGAGGTACCCTAAGCAGGGCAACAATGAGATGACATATGCTGCTAGTATTCAAAAACAAAAACAAACATCAGATTACATGTGCTCCAAATACTGCGGGGGGGGGCAGGGGGCGGAGAACATCATATGAAAAGCCTTATTTTTAAGCTGTATGAAATGTGAAACATATGACTGGCTTTGGATGCCAGTCATCTCTCAAATCAACAACGAATCAAGCTCAACTAAGCAGACCATTCAAATCAAACTTGTTTAAATCCCTGCAACAATTTGCAGAATGCTAGAGTAAACTGAATTTCTCAAGCCTCAGGTATACCACAATGAAAACAATCACGCATATTAAGTATCTCTTTGGATGCATATATGTAAACAAAAACAGGAATCATGGTGGTGATGGGAAAATATGCAAAATCAATCTTCCAGCAAACAAAAAAAGTATCTATCAGTACCACAAAACCACTTCGAAGTAGGCGAACAAGTTTCTCGCAGGAAACTAGCATAGCACATTCCAGGATGCCATACACTCCGACGCACAAAAAAATCCTAGTTATGTTTTTGTTAGGCAGAATAAATTAGCAAAGAGGACACGTGTATGCGACTTCAGATACCATCTTCCATTCGGAAGTTAAACAACTGCCGAGTAAGCTCCCCAAGTTAGTTTTCCAAAAAGAGTGCAGTATACTTTAATGTAGAAACATGAGCTATACTACATTTTACAGCCAGCCACGTCATTCCTACACAAATTTAAACATCCCATTGCTGTGATGCAGGAAAAAACCATGCTTTAAAAATACACCAGCGTGTGCTTCTTCAACAACTTCAAGAGTGCTTGCATACACCCAGTTAGGAACTTACTTACGCGTTGCAGCACCTGGATGTACCTACAAAGAACCGGCTAAGAGCAACCTGCTTTCAAAGGAGGCGAACAGGTAGGAAAAAGAGTGTCACCAGTTCATCTCCTTCCCCTAACAGAGGGGCGAGCTGCGGGTGAAAGGTTATCAGAGACACTAGCGCTGAACTGACGATCAACCTCTGCCTTAAAGCACCGCCCTGCACTGCAGGAGTTAAGGCCACGGGCGTCTGTAACGCGGGTAGAGCGCGGCTCACAACCCCGGCCCTGGCAGGGACGCGGCCGCGCTGCCTCCGCCCGGCAGCCCCGCGG